GTTATTCCTTGGAGAGGGACATCACGCTTGGGAAGGTGGAGGTATAGCAAAAGAGAAGGCCTTCAGTCGAGTGGATTGACAATGCAATGAGTTTGAGTGTGTTAGAGATTATGAGGTTGGCACAGGCGAGGACTGGGTTCAGATCGGTTGTTCATAGGGTTGCTATGAATCATTCTCGATGACACCTAACAACAACACCAACAATGTCTCTGGTGGACTAACGGTAAGAAGTTGCACTGCAATCCCAAAAGGCATGAAGTTCGGGTCCACTGACTACTCCATGGGAGGATGGGCAGTTTTCTTCTGACTCTAAAAACCCACTGGAGGATCAACTATGGGTAGGTTCTGATTCAATGGCACACAAAACAACAATATGTGTCTTATAGGAGCTGTGGTGACCTTATGATAAGACAACCCAAAGGTATGTGGTTTAAACCTACCAGTTCTACAGAAGAAAGATGGACAATCTCCTCCTGTGTTATTGACTGCCTTTGAAAACTGGTTGGAGGGTCAACCCTCCAGTGTTCGGTAGTGGACAACAACAACATATTGATCAATAATGAAGATCTTCTTCTACTTCAATTTGGCTTTGACTTTTACTTTGCTTGGTTCCACCAAATCCACTATCTCAGTGGTGACTGGCCTTCAAACTAACTCTGCCACATGACAAACCATGTGTGTCAGAGTAAAACTGTGCACTATAGTGGTGTTTGTGGAGGATTTTTTTAGAAATAGATCATCAGAACTTTCTTCAGAGGCACGTCTGGGTGGGCTTAAATCTTCAACATCTCAGTTAGTGGTTGAATGCATTAATAGTTTGCACCACTTGGGGACTCCCCACAAAGGAAGTAACAATTTTGTAATCACTCTAATTGCTGAATGGAATCAACTGATGTTTCTACTCTTGTTGGCATAACTCAGAGAGCCTATACATGTGATAGTCCTTTGCTAATTATTATAAACTTAGTTAAGTAGAGATAAATGGGAATACATGCAATGGAGGCAGGATAATATTTTAAAGTTATTAAGTTGATGTAATTTTAGTTTCATGAACAACAACCACAACAAAAAAAATTGCTATCTAGTCAATTGCAACTCTTGGTACATGAGATGTGAGTATACTATGCTCCTTTAGGTGTTTAATGACTGATTTTTCAGAAGTAGATCACCAGCACTTTCTTCTGAGGTACCTCGAAATGGACGCTATAATCTCTAGCCACATAGGGTATTAACTTTTTGCACTACCCTGGGTTTTTACCTCAAACTCAACTCATTGTCTTCAAATCAGAACTGACTCATAGCTGATCCTCCAGAGGATGTTCAGAGGCTGTGAATCACACAGGAAGAGGTGGCCCTTTCCTTAGCCTTAACTTGAGTTGAATATGATTCATAGAGACCCTATGAACAACAGATCTGAACCTTGTCCTCTCCTGGGCCAACCTCACAATCTCTGACACACTCGAGCCCATTGCTGCAGTCACTGTGTCAAACTACCAAATTGAGGGTCTTCTCCTTCACTGTCCCTCCACCTTTCCAAACATGGTGTCCCTCTCCAAGCAATAGCCTCTCCTAGAAACGTGCTCAAAGTATGAGAGATGAAGCTTCACCATCATTGTTTCCAAGGATCTTTCTGGCTTACACCTTCTCCAAGACATAGCTGTTTGTACTTTTGGCAGTCCGTGGGATATTCAAAGATGTATTTATTCCTAGTTGCCCTCAGATTTTTCTATTTATATAGCTTAGAACAAAGAAAGTAATTGCATTTGTTCATTGGTGTTTTAACGCAACAGCCTGAACGTAAAAGCAAAGGGATTTGAGTAACAAGTGCTTAAGAAAATACAGAGATGGTTTATTTGAAATACAGTGATTTGAATGCAGGAAAAAGATGAGTAATCTCCGCCTGTGTGATTTATTGCCTCCAAAAACCTGCTGGAGTGTCATTTATGAGTCAGTTCCAAACCAGTGGTGGTATATAGCAACAACAATCACGTTATTTTTATTTAGAAAACTTTAGGTAAAGCCTAAAGGATAACACAAAGCCATTTTTTTTTTTAAATCCCCACAGAGAGGATAAAGGACTTTCTCAGTTTGAGGTAAGAGGAAGTTCAAATTCAAGGGAAGCATCTGCAGCCTTGTTCTCTCTTACTTTCCCTTGGATGACATTTAGGCTGTGCCATGTTTTTCTTGATCATTCTTAAGTAATTAAAAGCCAAACAGCCACATCAAGTTGCAAAGAAAAGCCTCAATTCATGAAATGAAAGTAGCCAATCCCAAACAATTCTCAAAGCTTTAAATCTGATTTTCTCAGGTAACCAACCTCTCCTCCCTTGTTGGGAACTTTACAAGTAAGAAACTAAAGAATGAAGCATAATCCTCCTTCTTTCTTTTGTCCTGTCTCCCTAACCCCTTTCTCTTTCCTCGTCCCACGAACCACCCTGACCCCACCCTCACCTACACATTCCCTCACACACAAGCATCCAATACTGCACATTTTAAAAATTGTTCATTTTATGGTGAGTTGATTTTTAAAACTAAGTTCAAAAAAAGACCTTTTAAAAAATTTACTATAGTTCAATATGTGCCAACACTGTGACTTGACTAGCAAAAGAAATAGCATACTTCTACATTAACAAAGTACTAAGCCAGATGAAAGAAAGTTTTGGGTTCATTATACTCTAAGCTAATTGATTCGAATGATCCACAGTGGGATATTGTCTGAGCATGCAGCTGCTAACTGAAAAGTCAGCAGTTCAAATCCATCAACTACTCTGCAGAATTTGAAGCAGGAATGGCATCCACTTCCTCAACATGCCTCCGGAAACTCTGTGAATTTTGGTAAATGTTATAGGAGGGCTTCAGGCCTTTTGTTCATAGGGTCACTATGAGCCATGCTCATCTCAAAGGCAATCAACAACAACTCTGCAGAATAAAGATGTGGCAGACTACCTACATAAAGATTATAATTGTGGTGGTTGTGATTAGGTGCCATCTAGTTGAGTACAATTCACAGTAACTCTATGAACAACAGGCTTGAACCCTGTCCTATTCTGTGCCATCCTCACTATCTCTGACACACTTGAGCCCATTGCTGCAGTAACCATGTCAGTTCACCTCATTGAGGGTTTTCTTCTCTTTTGTGGACCCTCCATCTTTTCAAGCATATTTCTTTCCAAGGACTAACTTTTCCTAGCAACATGTCCAAAGTATGAGGAAAAAAGCTTTGCCATCCTTGCCTCCAAGAAGCACTCTAGTGTGGGAAATCTATGGGGCAATTCTACTCTATAGTATTGGGTCACTGTAAGTTAGAATTGACTTGATGAAAACTTATTTAGTTGAGTATTTTTGTTTTGTTTTGTTTAAGTAGTAATCTGTTTTATTTGAGACATTGATCAGATTAAAGTTATACAGAGGAAAGTGAACAGGATGGTTAGGAGATTTGGGGAATAATCTGGAATATTATTTTAGAAAAGAGAAAGAATGACATGATAACTTTATTATTTTGTTTGAGACAGTCCCTAGTAATTTTTTGAAATAAAATTTTGTATTTTAATTGTCATTTTTTAAAAAGTTTACAGAAAAGTTAGATTTTCATTCATTCATTGTTGCACATTTTACCCTCTCTCCCCTCCTACCCCCTCCGCAAGCTGGCTTTTTTCTTTTCATTAGTTTATTTACAACATTCTAATACAAACCCGAAGAAATTCTCTCCATTTCCCTCACACCCCCATCAAATTATACAACCCCATGATTAATCCCCCACCCCCTGCACATCCTCATCCCTCTGCTTCCAGCCTCTCCCACCCCTCCTGGATCCTTATACTCACATTACAATAATGGTCTTATACAATATTTATCCTTGTGGGATTGAGTTAGTTCACTCAGCATAATGTTCTCCAGTCCCTCCCAAGTTAGGTAATAATTTACAAAGTTATTGCTCCTTCTTGCTGCATAGTACTCCATTGTAATTTTTTCATTTATTTGTTTGTTTGTTTTAATGAAAGCTTACAGAGACTTAGGGTCTCCAGTCATTCATTATTGCATCCACTATAATTTTTAACCAAATCTTATTCTGTATTACTCCTGAAAAAAAGAACTTCATTTTCTGCAGAGTATTTATAAGAATCACTATAAATAAAAATTTAACAATAATGCAAATTGGGGGAAAATAAAATGACCTGTCTAAATGAGCAGTGATCTTCCCATCCCTGGGAATCACAGAAAACGCTCAAGCAGATGTTAAATAACCATTTATCAAGGTTAATGTCAAAAGGATTACTTCACTGAGTAGGAGATTGATCTATTTAACCTCTAAGGTCTTGTCCAACTTCACCTTCTATGTTCTGAATTATAAACGATGCTGTAAATTACCCTTACCTTGTGTGTATCTCCAACTCCTGCAACCCATTATATGCAGAGCTAACAAAATTCCACTGGTCCCCTCCAAAACAGCTGTCCTAAAACAGTCTTAGTGTTTGCTTAATGATTTCCAGTGAGCAAGAAGGAAAATAATATGCCGAACAACAAAAGAAAAAACAGTATAGGGAGTATATATATATACTATTGCATTATTGGAATATTTGGGATATATATTGGAATATATAGGGAATTTTTACCCTACTTAACCTATTTTTAATGAGTTACCTGTCAGTCAGCTCAAAAATGTACTAGTATTAAGCCTTAGATGTTAGCTTAACTTTCTCGATCTGGAATTTGCTCTAGTCTTATCAAGGAAATGATAGAGTTCATGTCTTTTTTTTAATAGTCCTTTGGTTTTATTTTCTGAGCTAAAAAGTATAGGCATAATTGTTTCAAATGGTCCTCTTGATGATGTCCTTTAAAATAACTTGACAAATGGCTTACTTCATGTCTCTTGATTATAGTATTAAATGTCACTATCAGTGATTAACTGGTTGAAAATTGTAGAGCAGATTAAGTAGCATTTGTGAATATTTCTCAATCCCCGAGAATCATAATCATCTTAGAAAGATGTTATCCTTTCATCATAAGTCTCTGGAAAGTAGTCGAGCTCGTTCATTGTTAACTGGGCAAGGGACAGTGTCATAGAGTGTTAATCCTTTCAAACTGGCTTCCACTCGCAAAGAAATTTTCTGAAAATCACGAATATAAGTAAGAAAAAAGCCAAAGAAAGGAAATGACATGGACCATTCAGCTGCAGTAGTGATCAAGTGAAGTGCATAACCTCTGTCCTCAGGGTTCCAATGGAGTTTCTGTATTACATCACTGCCAAAATTACCCGTGTACGGGAGTGATGAGCAAGTCAGCATGCTAAGTGCACTTACTACACACCAGATAACCAGCAGTAGTCTGATCCAGAAGACTTGATTGCCATGAATTCTAGGTTGCATGTGGTAGGAAAGGATAGTCTGAACAGACATATACAATGAGCCCAGTCTAAAGGTGAGGATCGCTCCACCTACATGTACAACAAAAAGGGCTGTTTTCTGGAAGCTTGCCACAATAGAAAGTCCTAAACAACTCAGTAATCCAAATACAAGGACGGTTTTATTTAATCTGATGATGCGATTTTCTTCAGGATTCAAAGCATGAACTTGCTTATAATGAACATAAATGGTAGCAATGGATAAAACTGAAGTGATATTTAGCATTACTCCAAACAAGCATTTTTCTGGAGCTATTGTACCAGTGTCACTTATATGAGGCAAAGCAAGGCCAACATGATGAAGTGTTATTGCAGTGATGTATGAAAAGATGAAAGCAGCAGCAGTCCATATTACAAGAGCTGAAGGAAGGAGACTGAGGCCTTGCTGAAACCACCACATCTCAAAAAGGTTTTCTGAAGTAGAAAAATCACATTTCAAAAGCTCAAGAGCAACAGTGCCTAATGAGAAACTGTATTGTGGGAGTGTTGTTGTTGGGTGCCATGAAGTCAGATGTCCCTCCTAGAGGACCCTCCCATGGGTTTTCAGAGGCTTTAAATCACACAGCAGATTGTCCATCCTTTACCCAGGGAGCAGCTGTTGGACTAACTATGATGAGTACTGTTTTATGAGTTTACAAAGTGTTAGTCTTCTGGCCTGCCCAAAACTGCACTGCTATAAATCCTTGCCCGAGCGACCCATCCAGCGACAACTGCGGACTCCCAAGCCCACCTGCAGGATTGAGAAGGGCAAGAGTTCATGTCTTTAAAATTACTAATTGAGAAAAAAAATAAAACACCTACTCTGTCCTGTCATTTTTAATTCTTCACGTCTCACTCTTCACATTTTGATCTCAAATTTGCTTAAGAATAAGCATCGGGTCAAAACCTACTTATCACCTGACCATTTGGTGGATTTTTAGGCAGAGACAGTAAATGTCATGTGAGATTACTCATCTTCCTTCCATGGAGCAGCTGACGGATTTGAGTGGAGAAAGGATTGAAGTGATCAATTATTTACTTGGATCCTCAGACAACACCTGCAGTCAAGAAATTAGACATGTTGCATTGGAAAAACCTACTGCCAAGTACCCCTATGAAGTGCTAAAGAGCAACATTTTCCGTTTAAAGACTAAAGTACACTTGATTAATGCCATGGTCTTTTCAATCACTTGCTGCCTCTGAAAATTCGACAATGACTAAGGATAATGGAAGACCAACTGATGCATTTGTATTATAGTGTCGGGGCAGAGTACTGCATATCCCATGAACTGCCAAAAGAACAAATATGTCTTGGAAAATGTTCAGCCAGGGTGCTCCTTGGATGTAAGGATATTTTGACATGCTGTTAGGAGAGAACACTCCTTTTATAAAGACACCATGCTTGGGAAGATGGAGGGTCAGAAAAGGGGGGAGGAAGACCCTCAATGAAATGGATTGAATTAATGACTGAATCAATGAGCCTAAGAATACCACAGACAGTGAGAATAGCACAAGATAAGGCAAGGTTCTGATCTCATTTCATTGGATTGCGATAAGTCATAGCCAACACAACGGTATCTAACAACAAACTTTTCACAAGCTTAAATAGTCATTAGAAGCAAGAGTGACTAGTTATAAAAGGAAGGATGGGGCAAATAAAAAACCTAATAGAAGCTAAGTCAGCCTGTATTAAGACAAGGGCTGACTATGGAGATTAGTTTTGTCTGGCAAAACAATAGTCAAGGTTTATTTTCAGTACTGGGATATTTGTAGTTGGAAGGGTAATATTTAAACAATAACATCAGGCCTTGGTGGTTTTTTGCATACCATACCAGGCTTTTAACCGAAAGGACAATAATTCAATTCCATTTGTCACTAGTGAAATATGGGCAGTCTCTTTCATTAAGATTTATAGCATTGTTCCAAGAGGTGCACGGTTCAAATCCACCAGATGCTCTGCTGGAGAAGGAGGAACAATCTCCTCCTGTACCAGTCAGATCTGATCTGACAGTAGACACACACACACACACACACACACACACACACACACAAATATTTATAGCATTGAAAGCCATAAGTGAGAATCAATTAAATGTCAGTGGGTTTGGGTTTGGGTTTGAGTTTTGGTTTTGGTTCTGGTTTGTTGTTTTGTTTTGGCTTCATTTGGTTTTTTGTTAGAGAGATCATGTAGCACTGCAGTGATTCTAGGAGAGTTAAGTTGTACTGTTGTCATTGTTGTTGTTGTGTGCCATTGAGTCGCCTGTGACTCATAGCGACCATATGAACCCTGCTCTATTTTGAGCCAATTTCATTGTTTTTAACATACCTACCCCATTACTCCAGTCACTGAATTAATCCATTTCATCCAGGGTCTTCTCTTATGCTGTCCCTCCCCCCTTTCAAGCATCATGTTCCTCTCCAATGACTGGTTCCTTCTTGCAACATGCCCAAAGTATGTCAGATGGAGCTTCAGAATCCTTGCGTGATTTCACCCTCTCCAGGATGAACTTGTTTGTTTTCTTAGTACTCCATGGTATACTCAATACTCTTCTCCAGCACCACAACTTAATGGCATCAATTTTTCTTCTATCATCCTTAATCTTGTCCAGCTCTCTGATGTATTACAAGTAATTGCCAAGACCATGGCCTGGATCAGACCCACCTTAGTTTCCAAACTGAAATCATTGCTCTTCAGTACTCTGGAGAGGTCCCTTACTGACTACATATTTCCCCAAGTACAATTCATCTTTAGCTCTGGTTTGAACTTGCATACTAGTAGTCTGATCCATAATTAGCATCTGGCCTAGTTTTCACAGCTGATATTGAGCTTCTCCATTGATTTTTCTTCAGTGATGTAATCAATCTGATTCCCGTGTAGGCCACCAGGTGAGATCCATGTGTATAGTCATTATGTCTCTTGTAAAAGATATTTGAGGAGGGACTGGAGAGTATTATGCTAAGTGAACTAAATCAGCCCCACAAGGGCAAATACTGTATAACACCATTATTGTAGAAATGGAAAGTTAACTAGGAAAACGTATATGAGGATCCAAGGGAGGAAGGGGGAACAGAAGGGTGAGGATGTGCGAGGGTGGGGGAAGGTGTAGTCATAGGGTCACACAATTTGCTATGTGGAGGGAGGAGTAGGTAAAGGAAATGGGAAAGATCCAGTGAGAAAAACAATGTATACGAACTTTGTAAGTAAACTAGTATAAATTAAAAATGCACACCCATGTTCATTGCGGCTTTGTTCACAATAGCTAGGAGTTGGAAACAACCTAAGGGCCCATCAACAAATGAATGGATAGAGAAGTTGTATATATTCACACGATGGAATACTATGCTGCATTAAAAAAACAAGAAACCCATGCAATATTATTAAAAATGGGTGACCCTGGAGGACATTATGCTGAGTAAAATATCTCAGTGACAAAAGGACAAATACTACATGGTGCCACTGTTGTAGAAAGTGACTGACACCAGGGTTTGGGTAAGACTGAGAAAAACTGGATAGATTATGTATACTGAACTAAAACAGATGAGGGAGA